ATAATATAATATATATATACATAGTCATTGTCTGGATATGTCTGGATTGGAATTTGCTTACCTTGCACAACCTTCAAGGGCCGTCCACTTCAACCTGAGAAACAACAAATGTGTGTGTGGTCCCTTTCAAGGGATGTTCACATTTTTCAGAGCAATGGCGGCCATTGGCGTCCTTCGCCGTGGCCGAGCAAAAGCCTGCAAAGACCTGGTGGCATCATTTCAGCCCAAAGTTGACTGCAGTTTAACATCGCTTCCAGCTTCCACCTCCGTAGCCGAGATCCTCCCAGGCCAGGTGGCAAAGGTCGAGGAAGCCGTTCACCTCACGATTCCCGACACGAAACGTGTGGGAAACGTGTGGGAAACGTGTGGGAAACGTGTGGGAAACGTGTGGGAAACGTGGGAAACGTGTGGGAAACGTGTGGGAAACGTGTGGGAAACCTGCAGAACTCGAGCTTTGGAATGCCCAGACACAGGGCTGCAAGGTCTTCTGGATCAGCTCATTGCTTGGTGCAGAGTTCGCATCCTGAAATGTGAAAGTCATGTGCTGCGCCCGTGCTTTAGCTGTTTTGGGAAACTGGGAAGGCTATGGAAAACTGTTGAGATCTAGATTGCATGAGGCAATCCATGATCTTTAACACTGTATGATACTATGTATATACATAATTATACATATGTATATATATATATGTCTATTATTGTATGATATAACTTGATATAGCTACCTTCCATGGAGCTCCTGCGGCCGTGACCAGCAGCTTTGCTTGGCTGCAGTCTCTTCGCGGAAATCCAAGTAGTGTTTTGACAAGGCCTGCACCAGGAAAGGCGAGGTCTCAGAATGTCTGTATCATTCTGTGACTATAGTTTCTATATGTTTCTATCACATTCCATTATACTTCAATTGTGTTCAATCCGCTATCAAAGCAAATGCATGCTAATGCTAAATATATCAATATATAATTCTAAACATAGTAAAACAAAAAATTAAACACAGCACCTTTGGCGCCTCATCAGCAGCCAGGGGCGCTTCAGGCAGCGTCAGAAATCCAGCATCTCTGGCCTGCGTCGTAAACATCGTATTGAGATAACACTGCTAAAGGGATCTAAATAAAGGGTACCAGATCTTACCAGATCTTACCAGATCTTACCAGATCTTACCAGATGTTACCAGCAACTGTTGCTGTTACCGGAGGTGCATTGTGATCAGCAACATATGTTTGAATACATCTGAATAGTCTGGATAGATCTGAATAGCAAAAAAAACGGTTGCAGTGCTTCGCCTCCTTGATGAGCTGCGGCTTGAGCTCGGGCTTTCGGGGTGCCATGAGCGCGGCATGAGCAAATAGCAACACACGACCACAAAAAAACGACCAAGCTCCGCCCAAAATAATGATAAAGATTGACCATTTGGCCAAGGCAAGGAAAGTAATTGGAAAAAAAACATCAAGATCTGTCTTCTGCTTTCGTGTCTGCTAAGGGCTTTTCAATGGGATGAGATTAGTCATAGTTTATCTTGCCTGAGTGAAACACCTGAGCCAGTCACGGGCACACAAGAATCCACTACAATCAAAAGTTATGCTTGGAGAAGTTGGTGCTCAAGGATCGACGTACTGGGACAGGAAAGTCTGAGACCTGGATCGCCTAAGAGGTGTCAAGTAAACTGGTTGGGAGCTGTTGTGATTCTGCCCCTACGATCAACATCACATTGCCCACAGCAATAGCTGAACCAGGCTGAACAATGGTCATGACTCAGGTGGAAAGAGGGCCCCTCTCAACCGCCCCACAGGAACCTCTGCGTGAGCCTATTCCTCGGTGCAATTTGAGCATCGGCGTTGGTGATGTTCGTGGAGTTTCGAATCGCCAAAAACGACTCCGCAGCTGGGTGTTCCCGGCAGCCATTGCAAAGGCTTCGCACCATGATGGACTTGCAACCGATAGCTGGCACCCACCCATGGGAAGAAGCCGCCGTATTGCCTAACAATCAACACGATGGGCACCGTGGGCACCGTGGGCACCGTGGGCACTGGATGGGAAGCCACTGGATGTTCAATGGATCAAGCCCAGAGGCCATAAGCGAAACGTCAAGGGCTGGTTGCTTCAAGGACAGCCGAGCTGAGATAGCAAGTTTTGATGCAAGTCGAGGTGTTTTCTGAGATTCTGCCTTGAGACGTACATGTTGCTTTCTTCCACTCAGTACAGAAATATAAATATTATATATATATACACTTGCTCAATCTAGTGGGCCCATTACCTGTTTGTATCACGTTGATGTCCTCCAAGTGTTGGCACTTATTAAGTCTTATTACATTGATATCTCTCTTGTTGGCTGAAGAGCAAACATCACCATATCCAGTTGAACTTCCCTTTAGAATTCTTTCAAGCACCATGAAGCACCTACATTGTGATCCTGCCTAGTTGTCAACTGCTGGTCCCTGGCGCCAGAACGTCAAAAGATGCAGCCGGGCTTTTGGAAAATCCACTGAATATAGCTACTTTCTATCGATTTCGCCAGCAGCAAAGCATGGTGAAACATTGCAGGCCCTGGCACCTCAATTCCAGCTGAAGGGAGTCGCCAGAATCACCTGAAAACCCCAAGTGACAGCAGATATAGCGCAGATTACTTAGACATGTTCTCAAATCGTGCGACGTTTTTTTTATCGACAGAAAAGTGTAGAAACCCCCATTGATACAGACTGACAGACCATCAAACGCCGCTGGCCGAAGTTCCGAGATGTTGGAACGCCATTGGAACAGAACACGGTCTGGGAACAAGGCCTTCGGACTGAGACTCAGTTCCCATCAGTGGTGCAAGTTTGAAGTGCCCTGAATCACTGAAGGTTTCAGGTTTCACCAAACTATTATATCAACACAGAAAAGTTATACTAATATCTATATCTGTATATGATGTGTATATATATATATGAGAGAGAGAGAGCCATGTAATGGATGTGAGTATTACATCATTCCATGTTGGCAAAGGCGCAAGTTGTCCGCGGTGTGTTGTGTTGAGGTTGCGGTAATTCGGAAAATCATTCAAGATCATTCAAGAGTCTATAAGCTCATGATATCAAAAGTGCACGACAGCTTATCTCGAGACTCAGGGGGTGCTCCTGTTGCGTGCTTCGCTTTCCATTGGTGCTGACTTGTGTCCTCGTTTGTGACTCCTCTCTTTTCTATCAAGCTGTGAGCCAAAGCAAAATGGACCCTGTCAACCTGACCTGCGGAATTGGGACGAAAACAGTCTCTGTGTTGTAAGTTCAAACGACGGCCAATGGTGTGCTGCATGATCATCACGGATAACCAAAATGAGCTGATTAAATCTTGCAATGAGAAGGAGCCATAGGCCCACCGAAAGCTTTGCAATGAGAAGGAGCCATAGGCCAACCGAAAGCTTTGCAAAGGCGTCTGAAGAAGATTGCTGACGATAATACATAACCATGATTTTAACAATGATAATAATGATAATAATGATAACATATGATTATACATATGATAATAATAACAAGACTAAACATAGTGTTCATAGTTTAACACACAAAATAGAAATCGAATGAAATCACGTTAACATCTAAATCGAACATCAGCATCTGCGAAACTAACAAGCACAGGCACGGCAGGGAGCACCATCAAAGGCACGAGCTCCGAATGGCGCAGACTGTCAACGAGCTGGTCCTGAAGAACGTGAAGTTGGAGGCTGCTGAATCAACTGGAAAAACATCATCAATCATCAATCATCATATATCTTTCAAGGTCCAAGTGTAAAAATGACACTGATTGAGCCAGAAAACTTGTAGGGTTTTAATGGACAAGCGGACAAACTCATCAAATTCCGGACACAAGGCAAATCTGTCGCCTTCAAAGGAGTCTGTACAGTTCCGAGTCCGCCCTTTCCTAGCCCAAATCGAAGCAACTCGCTTGGAGAAGTTTCAAGGCGGTCACAACATGTCACAACCAATCAAGGCCCTTAAGGCCCTTAAGGCCCATAAGGCCCATCAAGGTAGACTTTGCTCGGGTCAGTAGGATCTTGGATGGCTGGAAGGCTACGATTTGTCGCTGCGAGCCAATCCAAAACACCGGGCTCTAACTGGACAGGTACGAGGCCAAAGCGAACGTCATTCAACCCCAATTTACGCTGGTATTCTCCAACGGTGGCGTAAGACTGCTTGTCTCCCAGTTGTCTCAACCCTGTCTAGTTTTACAACTGTTCCTTCGGATAATTTGGCATTTGGGCCCACAATTGCCACATCGTGCTTCTTGAAATACTCCTTCTCTGGGATGCAAGAGCCCTTGTAGTATAAAGATCCTGCCGATTGGAAAGCCATGGAAAATGTGCTGGCATTTGGATGCATTTGGCATCTTCAGCATCTGCAGAGCTTCTGGAGACCAAGGGTTGGACACATAGGCATTGTGGTTAGATATTTTGATACCTCCCAGTCGCCAAACTTCAGAACGCTCAACCGTGGACGGATCCGCATTCGACTCTTCCTCGAGTTTCTCAATGAATTTGGAGTTCGAGTCCGCCACTTCGTCCAGTACCAGCGTACTCCCCACAGGGCCATGGAATCAAAGCTATCCTTGACATCGGGCATCCGTGAAGACAATGTAATGAAATATAATGTGTCCATATTAAGTCTATGTCATATGTGATCCATATGTGAGAATCTATGCCACTTACATAGCCTCATTCCAAGTATTCCAAGTTTAAAATTTTAAAATAACATATCGGGAAGGCGACAGAAGCTTCCACCCAGATCCCGTAGATGCCGTCAAGTGTCAAAATGCGAAGCTGGACAGTTCCAATCGCAGCAATGCCGGACTTGTCAAGGCAGCGAAGGTCTCCCGCACAAACCTGGACTTGTCGGACACAGAGAGGCATTAAACTTATTCAAATGTCATGTCCTTCGCAGATACTGTATGATTCAGATGTCATTTAAAGAGTGAGGTGTGATGCAAATATGATTCGCTGCACTTCAACGTTCAACTAAGCTTCGAGTAAGATTCTCGTTCTCCATGAGACTTCGTCTCTCTTACTCTCATGAGACACGATCAAATTAAAAAAAACGGTTGCAAACAGCTGTCAGCTATGAGCCATGAGCTATCAACGACCAGCCTTGCCACAGCTTCCCACACCCAGCTGGTCGAGTCCGTGCTCGGCAATGGTAGCTCCACGACCTCGAGTGACTCGAGTCACTGGAAGTCACTGGAAACATGGGAAACATCCACAAGCATCGGCAATCCGGAAAAACATCACAAAAACATCGGTGCAACGGGGCCAAAATCAAGCGTGTATTGATGTATATTGGCACATATATTGAAACATTTGAAACTGCGTTACAGCATGTTACAGCATGTTACAGCATGTTACAGCATGTTACAGCACATTTCTGGAATTCTCCCGGGGATCCTTCGACCAGGTCTTGCACCGGAAGATGGAACCCGCACCGGAACCAGCCCATCCTATCCGTCGCCCCTATCCATCCTGGCCCTTTTTGTTGGGATCATGAGTCAGTTTCTTCGAGGTCTTTACTCAGCAGGTTTCATTCCGGCGTCTTTCAACGAGGCACCTGATGAAATGATGTACCCCGTGGACTCTCACTTGCTCCAAAGCATCTCAGTTGCGCCGGAACATGGGTTTTAATCATCAAGACACTCCGTTTTAGGGTTTGACTTGCGGACATGGGGACATGAGGGCAAGCACCATCTTCAGACGCCCCAGTGACCGAGGATTAAAGCTGAGAGTCCATGAGGCGTGTTGGTTTCCGCCAGCGATTTCTTCTCGGTGGATTTTCACAAAACATCACATCTATTCACATCTGACATCTTGCAGGTAACCAGGTACGTGCTATTTTCACTGGTGCAAACAAACCCAAATACTACACTGTTCGTGTAGCCCGAGAAAACATTTGATGCGGCCACCATATGTCAGCATATGTCAACATTTGGCATGTGTCAGCATGAAAAGTGAACAGACATGGACCGACTGCACAGCAAGATAAGTCTCGGTCCACTCAAAGTAGACAAAGGAAATCAACAAAAAATGATCAAAGGATCCAAAACTCTCCCAGCCTTTCGACGAGACTCCTCCAACTCTGGAGATCAGAACCCCCAACGAACTTCGTAGAGTTTCACCGCGGCTTTCATCAAGCGCTTGGGACCACCGCTGCCCGCATCTTGTGAACCTTTGCCTTCCTGAAGGGAACTGCCATGCATACACCGCAGCACATAATGATGAACAACCGCCGATGACGACCCCAATCGTGACGGGATCGATCATTCCTAGCGTGGCATAGAGACAATGAGACTAATGAG